AATTAGAGAGATAGCCGAGATTATAGGCATCTCTTATGAACGAACTCAAAACATCATTGTCAACGAGTTGGGTTTCCACAAGGTGTCTGCGAGGTGGGTTCCGCGACTGCTTTCAGTTGAACAAAAAGGACGCGATTGACTATTTCACGCGACTGTTTGGAGTTATTTGAAGCCGATGCAGATGATTTTTTGAATCGTTTTGTTACTATGGACGAAACATGGGTTCATTACTGTACACCGGAAACAAAACAACAATCATAACAGTGGAGAAGATCTGGTTCACCACCCCCTAAAAAGGCTAAGTCGATTTTGTCGGCAAATAAGGTGATGGCTTCAGTATTCTGGGACTCGAAAGGTGTGATTATGATTGATTATCTTGAAAGGGGTCAGACTATAAACTCTGATTACTACTGCACCTTACTACGTCGTTTACGAGAGGAAATAAAAGAAAAACGTCGAGGAATGCTCAGAAGAAAAGTCCTGTTTCATCAAGATAACGCCCGTGTTCACACGTCAGTACAGTCAATGGCTGAAATTCACAACTGTGGAATTGAACAGTTACCGCATCAGCCGTATTCACATGATCTGGCACCATCAGACTTCTTTCTGTTCCCTAACCTAAAAAAGCACTTGGGAGGTCAAAGATTTTCGACAAACGACGAGGTCAAAGCAGCTGTAGACGCATATTTTGACTCTAAGGAAGAATCATTTTTTTTTCAACGGTCTAAATGCTTGGAAGGGGAGGTGGCAATAGTGTATTGAACTTGATGGTGATTATGTAGAAAAATAAAAATATAACTGATTTAGTATGTGTTTATTTTCTTGGTTAGGCCGAGTACTTTTCAATCCACCCTCGTAACTAAACTAAACTGAGATGAAGTCTGTCTCCGCAGGTGTAGAATGTGTTTAGATATACATAACACGTCTTTTTTCTGTGATGTTTGTGCTGTTAGCCTATTCGGCTCTTACACCTTCATCTGACTCAGGGGCTCGTGGCATACACAGACGTGAGCTAATTTGACTTTAACTATACTTTACTTTATACGTGGTAAAGCATCGCTGCATTTATATTATGGTTGTAGCAAAAAAATGGGTCGGCACGTTCGGGGACAGAATACTAACGTAAAATAGCAACCTTAATGCACCTGTTTCGTATGGTGAGTATAGTGAACCGGGCCCCTTTTACAGAAACAGACTTTTTACTAAGTCCTCAGGGGTAACAACGCATCTGCATTTTGATTCTTAATTGAGGATAAATGTTGGTTCTATGGGTCACAGCTCACAGCATCCACTTACCATCAGGTGGATTTTAATTCTGTGTAAGAATGTGGACTTCATATACAAGGATTTAACTTCTTTTCAGACCCGTTTTATAATTATATCTATCACTCATTAATCGTGGGGAAAGTAATTTATGTGTCTTATAAACTGTATATATATTATATATATACTATATATATATGCATATATGTATATATGAAACATATTTTTATTAAGTAAAAATAATACAATTTTTATTACATAAAGTCATTTAAATGTCTCAATATTCTTTGTAACCAATATACCTACATAGTTCATAAAACTGCAAATACGAATATGCAATAAAATTTTATTTATCAATGTTTTCAAATAATGCAAGTTCGTTTTAGATTAACAAAATTTACACATATTAAAAATACCAGATTTTTTAATAGCAATAATAATGAAAATAAAAAGTAACGGTAAAGACATCTTTCATTGCGAAAATATAATGGAAGATCAATTATAATCAGTCTTGTGTGAAAGTAAATTAAAAACAGTTTTCATTTTGTATTGAACTTCATCTGATACAAAAAATTAAAAAAAAAACCAACACAAACAGATTCACTATATCTTCGTCTTTCATAGTGATCGGCAGATAGGCACTGAACTAGACCAATACCTAAAATTCCTGTTATAGTTGCTGACTACTTTATGATTCGAGGAGTCTAGTTCGAGAAACTTCAGGAGTTCACAGTTTTTTGTCATTCACCAAAATTGACTGAAAAATAATTTATCTATGAAGAGATATGGGCATTCTAAATGCAAATTTTCCTTCTCAATAATACTCTTGAGCCGCGGTAGCTCAGATGGTTAGTGCTCGTTGTAAAATTCATAGCAGGCGAGCAAACCGGGTTCGATCCCCACCAATGAAATTGTTAATTGCAATTTTAAGTGATGACTTACCACGTGCTCGGCGGTCAAGGAAAAATATCGTGAGGAAACTCGCATGTCCGCAAATAAATTATTTCGTAGACATGTGAAGTTCGTCAACACGTATTGGGGCAGCGCGGCGGAAAAAAACAATTTCTTGCTGGGTCCTATAATAAATAAACCAAACCCTCTTAGAAATGAGCGGGAAACATCGAATGTGCGACGAGTGAGTGGGACGTATCATAGGCTGTAAATTTAGAAATCATTATTTAATAATACTCTTGAAAAATAGACCTGCGACCAAGTTTTTGTGCAAGTCATTTACGACAGCACATGTTAAATGTATAACCGTTACCATCATAGCCTATTAAAGTCCACTTCTAAGCATAGGTTACCCCCACATATTGCCTCATAGGGGGGATATATGCCATAGTTGCCACGCTTGGCGAGCGGTTTGACAACCGCAGTTTTTTTTTTTAGTCGTTATTAGGCAGACGCTGCTGCCCGTCTCCTGATTTGTTTCCCTCTGCCGCCTCTTACACCAGTGGTGTCTTAAGAGGCGGCAGTAAGCTGAATGATATGGGGTAGTGGACATTCATACACCGCCACTACAAGGTAAAATTTATAACGCTTAAAAAAATATTAGCGTAGGGATAAATTCTCTTATCAGATGAGAATGCACAATATGAAGGTACAGTTACATTTTAGTGAAATCTTCAAAATCGACGGGCGAAGAAATAATTTAACTACCTCGTTTTTTATTAACGTTGTTATTTTATTGTCCCATGTCGGTCTAGAACTTATAGGTCCTATGTTTAATTAGGCCTGATCATAATCACATGAGCACAATAACAGAACTAATATTGCATATACATACACCAACTGTGTTACTTTTACTTGCTTAGCTTTTCGTAAAAGGTATACAAGTAAAAGTAACACAGTTGGTGTACGTATATGTAATATTAGTTCTGTTATTGTGCTCATGTGATTATGATCAGGCCTAATTAAAAAAATAAATTTGTTATAACATAGGTATATATAATCTTTCATTAATTTTTTTTGAGTAACCATGGTCCAGATATCTCTTTGGTCTACCTCCTCCTTCAGGATCATGAGCATCACACTGTTTATTATTTGATTAAAGGCCAATTTTTCAATGATCAGATAAAATAATTTATAGGACAAAATACAAAATAAACAAATTAAAAATAGCAGTTGTAGTTTAGTTATGGATTCTTGCTTCGCCACTACACCAAGATTATTGCGACCATTTTAAATTTATATATACATGCATACTTTATGTGAAGATAGTAGAGAAATTAATGTTGACATTTTATTACAATTATATCATACCAAACCTAATAAAATTACAATACATGCTGTGCAACAAAATCTAAGCGACAGTCAAGTATCTCACTAAATAATAGAATAATCAAAATTAAGAAAGAATAAGCGGTGTCTCCCTCTACCTTGAATAAGACTGTGAAGTTGAAAATAAATAATTTTACAAAAAGATTGTAATAAAATAGCATTTATTAATAAAGCCTAAATAGTTAGGTGTAAAAGGCATAGCTTTCTACTGGAGGCAGTCAAAACTATAATTACTTACCGAATAAAATTAATATCATAAAGATAGTAAGTGCAAGTTGAAATGCTACATTAAAATAGTGCAGGATAACATTAATAATTATTAATACAACTAAATATACTACTAGAATGCAAAAATATTAACGGAGTGCCAACAGGGTTGCCAGGTTTGATCATAATTTTAAAAACATCAAGTGGGTGCAATTTTTTTTTCCAAAAAATAGGTCTGTAGCAAAATAAATTTTCTCTTTTAAAAGACGTTATCCCTAACCCAAGGATTTTCTCCTGTATCGTGGGGGCAGTTTACAAACATAAATTGCACACGAACAAACATCCAGACCCGGAACAATTATTTGTAGGTCATACAAATACTTGATCCGTGCGGGATTCGAACCCGCGACCCCAGCGCAGCCACTCATAGCTAAGCCACTGCGCCACGGAGTCGTCGAACATTATAAAATACACAGGACCACACCCCAACCATCATTTTGTAAACTTAAAATACTAGTACGAAAACTCAGAAAAGAACAGTTTTAGTCCCATTACTGTTTTAGACGTAGACATAGACAGAGAGACCTATAGACTAATGATTAGCATGGCCTCAAGTGAGAAAGGACAATAACGTAGACAGGAGTAGACAGAGAAATTCTCTGTCTACGGTTTTAGGTTATACAATAATCTTTATGACTTCTAAACATATTTAGATAAAATTTAAACATATATTTATATAGTTCTGTAACGAAATTTAAAATAACAATTGAATTTTATACGTAATACCAGATAAAATGTACTAACGAGTGAAATAATATACCGGTGAGTTTACGTTCACTGTAACTTTTACATCCTAAGACTCTACCTCTAACCATTTTTTTAAATTTTTAATTGTTCTAATAACTGAACTGAACAAGATTCACAAATCTTAAGCTAACAAAACACTTTTTTTCTCACTTAAACCAACTTGTAAACTCCTTAGATCGCTACGAACTGTCAAAGTTGTTTATCAAAGTGTAGTTTGCTAAACAAAAAAAACCGGCACGGAGAAAGGGACAAACAATCACACTGCTCTGTCTCATTTCTATGCAAGAAGTATGCATAAATCTATCTTTTTCGTGTGCGAATGCGAAAGAAGGCTTCAATTTGTCTATAGGTTTCTCTGTCTATGATTTTAGATGTTTTAAGGAAACAAATCTGACAACCACCAACTATGTGACACATCGATGGTATACTATGAAGTTACTCACTCTGAGCGAGTAGTGAAGCGGCGTTGTACGCGGCCGACGAGCCGGCACCGGCGAAAGATGCGACCGGCCTCACAGCTGGCACTATGTAAAAGTGCCTTTATTAACAATGTTGAATCGCTTTACATTCAACTTTTACACTTTTATGCACCAATGTTTGCAATTCATTTTTAGACTACTTTATTAGGACATTGAATAAAAGGTGAGCTATTTGAAAGGATTGCCTATACTGATATTTCATATTGAAGATAGTCATTATAAAGAAGGCACAATAATCATCAATCAATCAATATATTAATTATTTAAACTATTGTTCCCGTGTCTCTCCACTACAGTAGTTCCACTAATTTGTGCATGATACATATTATTATATAAGGTATAGCCATCTTAAACTAGCTGATTAAATCATTGGGTCGCATAATATTCATCCTGACAACTCTAGAAAGTTATTTGGCCTCTGCCTTGTGCTTTTCCTTCGTTTATAAAGATGTCGAGTGTAAGAGTGGGCTTGTAAGTTGATTCTTGATTTTCGTAAGTTTTATGCAATTTTTCTTCTCTATATGTACCATCGTGCGGCAACACCGAGCAGCACAGAATTACTAGTGATAGTAGTCAAACAGAATTTCATCACAAATGTATAATAATGAAGTCAACATAATTGGTCTTATTATAAAACGCGGTTTTAAAGTCTTTGTCATGAAAGGAATTCTTGAACTTTACACTACATTAATCCTCAGTAATCTTCAATCATCCTATTAAAGTAGCAAAAATAATTGACTTAAACATGATAGTAGGCATAAATGTGTATAATAACTAAGGAATAACTTAACACTGAATAAACTAAACCAGATAAGACACTCACCACCTCCTCGTCCAATGCCCAGACTTAATGGTTTTGTCAGAGAACTGGCTTGAATTTTAATGGGTTTAATATTCGATGCCTGGCCAAATGCTAGCCCCGATGGAGCTGAAACAAATTAAATTATACATATCAGAGACAATGCAAGGAAAATAAAATGAAGCAAGGGTTTAACTTAAAACCCACACTTGTAAATTGTATGTACAGTGACAAATATCTGATTTTTATACCTTAATAGTTTGTAGGACTTAAGCTCTACCTGGAATAGGTCGAGGACAGACCATACTCTCGTAGAATACCAGCATGCAACAACAACTTAATGCTGGTATTTCATACAGTAAGTGTAGAGACTTGGAGACCCTTTTTACTGAAAATTAGGCTTTTTATCTTAGTCCTCTTGTGTGGCAACAATCTGTGTACATACAACCCTTGTTTGCAACCAACACTTGTGTGCGTACAAAAAACATTTGCATTTTGATTATTAATTGAGGATTGTATATGTGGGCTACATCATCCACTTACCATCGTGGACTGTGTGCTCATTTGTTTAAAAAATCATCTAGATAAGGACCACTTATTTTCCTAATTCTGTCACTAAGCAATGCTGTTAATTTATGGTTTGAAAGGTATTACATCATCAATATTATAATGGGGTGGGCGCGCGGGAGGGGGGGGGGGGGCGGGGGGTTTTGGGGGTGTTGGTGTGGGGGGGGGGCGGGAGGGGGAGGGAGGAGGAAGTGGGGGGGGGCCAAAAGGGGGGGGGGTGGGGGGGGAGAGAGGAGGCGGGGCGAAAAAGCGAGGGCCGAGGAGAAGGAGAGGGAGAGGAGGGGAATTTCAGTAGTCGCAAGAGGGAAAGGGAAAAAAAAGGGAGTAGAAATTCTAGTTCTTGGGCTACTAGGTGTGGGGGGGCGTGATAGTAGTAGTAGTATATTGCAAGACACTCAACCATAGTCCTAATGGATGAAATTGCGTCTTAAGTCTTCTATGTTTGATATTGTTGCAATGACTACATACCTTCTTACGCTCATCTCATCATATAATTTATTTATAAATGAAGAAAGTTTTGTATTTTCAACCGACGAAAAAATGGAGGAGGTACTCAAGGTAGATGTTATTTAGGTAAAAAAACGCGACAAAACTCGCGATACCATTCATACCATGTGGATGACTGGCGATCTACCACTGTGCAATTTAAAAGAAGTTTTCTTCCTCGCACAACTTCCTTGTGGAATCGACTACCACCAGAGATTTTTCCGGACCGATACGACTTAGGAACCTTCAAGTAAAGAGCCTACTCCTTTTTAAAAGGCTGGCAACGCATCTGCAATACACTTGGTGTTGTAGTTGTTCATGGGCGGTGGTAATCACTTACCATCAGGTGAGCCGTATGCTCGTTTTACCCCTCAACGAAAAAAAAACCTAGGGTAATGTTGATTCATCAGCATCACTACAGCCCTTCACAAGTCTACTGTTGAATGTAGGTCTCCCTCAAGGAATGTCACAAAGCACAGTCCAGAGCCACCTGCATTCATCTAGAGTCCATCTAGAGGAGGGCCCACCTATTGTTTATTGTCTATAATAATTATGTTACTTGGCAAGGCTGTTATTTACCAGCTAAAGGGTTTGTGGTGGGTCTGACGGTAATGGTCTGTGGCGCCGCAGTAACCTTCGCCTTAACTCCCATTCGTGCAGCCGCTGCCAATGTTTTCCCACCACCTAAGGAGAACAAATAAAATAAGTATAAGTAATGAAATAACAAGCAGTAAATTTATTCTATAAAAGGGATAAGAAAACTAGAGTTAAAACCGCTAGATTCGTTTATTATAGCAAAATGTTATTTGGAATTGCCATGAGTAAGCGCATCAGACTTGGTAACATTTATGTTTGGTAGAAGAGAGCCAAAAGGCATTTTGTACATTTTATATTTTCTTGTTGTGGATTGGTAACTACCCTATAACCTATTTCTACTGCTAAGCAGTTCAGACACTGCTGCTGTTCCAGCCTGTAGGGTCATCATCATCATCACCATTACAGCCTATCAATGTCCACAGCTGAACATAGGCCTCTCCAAAGATTGTCTCATAAGTGGGATACTTACCATAATTGCCACTCTTGGCAGACTGGTTGGTGTCTGCAGTTTTTTAGTACCAACCGTAATTTTGAACATGAAGGCAGAACATTTTTAAACAGGTATAAATATTTAAGCATATTTGTAACTTTAAATGTGTGTCAATTCATAATATGAGGAACCCAAGAAAATAATTTTCTATGATAAGACCCAAATCCTTAACATGTGGAGATTAGGAAATAACTGAACATTCAACTGATGGGGGCTACCTATTATTATTGCCTGCCATTTTAAAGGATTAATGAGAATACTTAATATATTTATTCTATTATTAGAATTAGACCTTATTAGAATTAATATAAAACCTTTTGGACTAGTTAAGTATACTGGCCAGGTCATGGTTTAAGGAAGAAATTATATTGTTGAGCTCATCCAAAGATTCCTGTGCATAGTTGCAAATTATCTACATAAAAGTGGTAAGAGTAGTTGATAAGATTTGTGATGCGTCAATAAAAATCAAGAAGAGGAGAAGAAAGTATGCCACCCTGTGAAACAGCAACATCCAGATCACACCAGTTAGAAGTACTCTCACCAACACGGCTGCAATTGTGTTTCGCAATCCTAAGATATGAAGATAGCATCGATGGAGAATCTACATTACTCCAGGAAGGCAAGGATATCATGATCAACATATTCAAAACATTGGAAAAATCAATGGGACCAAATATTATTGATCTGGAATGCCCTATACCCATCCTAAAATCTTTTACAATGTTATGGAAAGCTGTTATTTTTCTATGAACAGTGTGAAAACCAGATTAATGCTCATTTAAGGGATAGTTTTTAAAAATAAAATTTACTTCTCAGCAGTGTTATTTTTAAAAAAAATGTCCCACTAATTTTCTGACTGGTCTTAGTAAGAATCCTTATTTACGTTTTTTTAAGAATATCACTTTAACTTTGCCACAAAGCTTTAATAACAGCTACAAAATTAATACCATACATATTACCCTGAAACACATACACTAAAACCAATCCAAATCTATAAAAGTTGGGCTTAGTAAATAATTATAAGTCTGATTGCATTTTTTAATTTTTTACAAAAGCATTCACAAATAAGTTCTCTTAAATAAAAAAAGACATTCTTAAAGAAGAACTAGCAAGAAACTCTGGGGTCTTAACTTACAATAAAATCAATACATAAACATAAACACTCACGCCTGTCACCCAGAGGGGTAGGCAGAGACTATGGACTTCCATTTAGCACGATCCTGACATACCTTTCTCGCATCTTCCACATCCATATACCTACGCATACATGCTCTTCGGTTAAGGGTACTCTTAATTTGGCCCATTTTTAGTATATCGCCAATTTGGTCGACAAACTTCCGCCTAGGACGTCCCTTTCCGACTCTTCCATTCACTTCTGCAACATATATTTGCTTTGTCAGTCTTTCCGCATTCATTCTTTCTACATGACCAAACCACCGAAGCATTCCTTTCTTAATCCTGGTCACCGCATCATCTTGCAAACCACACTCTGCTTTTATCACACAGTTTCTCACCCTGTCACTCAGATTCAGCCCTAACATACTCCTTAGCGACCGCATTTCTACTGCATTTATTCTACTCTCGTGCTTCTTCTGCCACACCCAACTTTCACTACCATACGTTAAAGTAGGGACTAATACAGCACTGTGAACTGCCATACGTGCCTTTTTTGACACATTCTGACTTTTCACAATAGAGTGTAGAGCCCCATTTACTTTATTTCCTACATTCACTCGTCGTTCAATATCCTTATCATATCTCCCATCCCTGCTGAATACACATCCCAAATATACGAACTCATCCACTTGCTCAATTAACTCTCCTTCTATTCTTATTTCACATACCGTCTTGCTTTCATCTCTTTCAAAAACCATCACTTTCGTCTTACTTGCGTTCACTTTCATTCCTCTTTCTTTTAATGACATGTTCATTAATGTAACCATCATTTGCAACTAAAATCAATACAATGTCAATTTTTTTAATAGATGATGAGCGCATAGGGAATAATACTCTGCAAGAATAAAAAATGGGTCTTATAACATAGTCAAGTTGAAAAATATACTTGATTCCATTATAGCCTATAAAAGTCTACTCCTGAACATAGGTCTACCATAGATTACCTCATAGGGAGTATGCTACGCTTGGCTCGGAGGGTTAGCAACTACAGGTTTTTATTGTTTAGTTGTTTCTTAGGTAGACACTGCTTCCTATCTCTTTCTTTATTTATTCTTTATTTTATTTTTATTTTAAGCTATTGCATAGCTTCTATCGCAGGCCTTGAGCGCGGGGACCGAATCCAGAAATTCCGTAACGAAAAAAAAACCTCACGCTACCCACTTCGACGGGCACGGAGGTGTGGCGTTGAAAGCCGTGCATCGTCTAACGTCGTTTCAGTTCGGCAGACTTCGGCACGTTCGGCAGGTGTTTGTGTGCGTGCGACTAGACGTATGCGTGTACACTAGCTGCTAACTCAATGATAAAAATTCCTGAATAACCTACATGTATTGTAAGATATTAAAAATATTTTAAACAATATTAACTTCTCATTTATTCAATAAGAGAAAAAAAAATTGTTTTCTTATTAGTCACCTCGCTCAAAAAGTGTAACTTGATTTAATATCAAAGACTTAACTGCATAAATAAAATAAATAAATAATTATAATTGCAAAAGTTGATAAAAAATGCTATACAATAGCTTTACCGCGGCAGTCACCGAGTGCCACACATATTTTTTTAAAGAATATTAACAATGCTGTAAACATTACTAATATTCCCCTTAACCACTCGTGATAAGCTTAAATTGCTTGTGTTACGAGTGGTTCATGCCAGTAGTCGAATGGAGGATTGTAACCCACAAGAGTTCACGGTCCGCGTCCCGCCATTAAGCTACTGCTGCTTATATCTCTTGTTTCAGTTTCCTCTCCGTCACCTCTTCTGACACACATGAGACAAAACGGGGTAGTGGATATTCTTATACCACTCATGCACAGATAATTAAATGATTACAAAATCAGATAATATATGGTAGTGGATGTTCTTAAGCCACTGCTACAGAGTAAGGCACATTCCTTTTATTATAACAATACCTCAAAATTGTCCAACATGTTCATCTATCTATGTAAAACACAAATATGTTTCTACCTATATAGATTTTGAAACCATCCAACCGGTTTTGATGAAGTTTTTTGTGTGTATTTGAGCAGGTCCTTTGATGGTTTATATTCACATTTGGACCCGGTAGGTGGCGCTGTTGTCGAGATCCAGAATGCACCCAAGCCAAGCCAGGGCAGATCGTTAGTTTTAACATGACATTTCATATAAACCACTTACACCTGCACATAAATTATACATATGCTCCATGTGCATCATCATTACTTGATAGTCTATAACAATGAAATTATGTATCTGTTACGTGGCTAGGTATATTATTCTTGTTTACATAAAATCTAATGCAAAAGTGAACAGGGTATAGAAACTAAATGTCGCTGATCACAATTCCCATTTTACAAGATTGTAAATTAACCTATGCAACTCCTTCCCTATGACAAGTTACAAAAAATAATATTGAACATTTAAATGAATTGTATACTGTACCTGGCACTTCCAAATTATCTGGGTCCTCATCGTCATCAAAGTCAGAATCATCAGATGGGGTAGGTGGATTGTCTTCATCATCACCATATGCAGCCCGTTTTGACTAAAAATTTAAAATACTGTTAAAATTATTTAGTTATATAAGTATATATATATAAGTATCAATAATATTTCTGTTAACCACTTCACAGAAATGACAATGTATCTGCATTTTGATTCTCAAACAAGGATAAATATAGATGACTATGAGCCATGGCATCTACTTACCATCAGGTAGATCCCTGAGTGCTCATTTGTTACCCTTTTTCTATAAATATGTAAGCTTAAAATGCTAGGGTTAGGAGTGTTTCGCAAGAATAGTTGAATGGTGAATTTAAACCAACAACTTTCCAAGTACACAGTCCGCACTGTTAACTGTTTCTGTTGTTAAGTGTTTCTTTTAATAATCTATCATCATCATCATAATTACAGCCCTTCACAAGTCCACTGCTGAACATAGGCCTCCCCCAGGTAATACCACATGCTTTGTGGCATTACTTAACAATCTAACTGATGAACAATTAAAAAACTTATTGTATGCATGCATTATAACAAGGAAAGTATTATAATACTATGTCTATTGAAGAACTTAAAATAAAAATATCCTAGACGATATTACGAAAATTCAAATATGTTTTTATAGAAACTGTACACTAAACAATTGTAACATTTTTGCACCTGCCAATTTTTCAAGTTTATGGACGAAATTACATAACTGATAAGAAAATCGTAAAATTTTTTTATGGGCTATGAAAATCCTTTTACATTTTCTAACATGAAATAACTAACACCCACATTGATACCTATGTTGCAGTATCAATTTGAAGGGCAAGCCGAAATTATCTAATCCAGATGTTAAAGTAACGTAATTGTACATTCATACAATTGTAATTATCTAAATATTGATAAAGAAATATTTAAATATTGAGAATGATATTTGAGAAAACATACACAGCGCACTACCGCATTGCACTGGTGTGGCTCGCGTAGGCCTAGTGCAGTTATTAAGACGTATCCTAATACTATACCTAGAACCTTCTAAGAAAATCAATACAGCCACACCCCACTTGCATAATGAACACCTTAATCATTTCAAGACTTTCGGAATTTTAAGCAAAATGCATGTAAATTATCACATGTGAGGATGCCTTTCAGCTTATGATTTTTTTTTTTGGTTAGAAAACTTGAAAACAAAGAAAAAAATACTGAAAAATAGGATTTTATAAACCTTATTTAACACATACACTTATTGGAACACATTTAGCGCTGAAATTTAAAGAAATTCAAACACAATAAGCTGTAAACTGAAATTTTCACAAAAGTTAAGTTTGTAAAAAAGTATCAAAACAAAAAACTATCATTACCATTTTTAGGAGTGAATTAACAGTTAAAGATGTTTGAGGTTTGTTACTCAGCAGTAAGTATGCGTACACAATTATTTATATTTATTTTATCATCACAATCGCGCATGAATCGCGAAAATTTCTTAAATTGCACTTTTGAAATAATCAGACAACCCGACGGCGGCCAATGATTCCGCCATATTAAAAAAATAATCTAAATCCAAAGAGAAAAGCAGAAAAGAAGAACAGAATTCTTTCTGCACTATTGTACGTTCGGAAATTTTCACAAAAGCTTACAGCCTTTCAGCCTTTGTGAAAACACAGATTGATAGAATGATAACAATAACTACCAACAACTATCAGAGATACATCCTCTAGAACGGCACCGTCGACATCTGTCGAGCTTGTCGCCATCCTGGTGAGCCACTTAAGCATGTCATCTCCGGTTGTTCGGCGCTTTCTAACTCTGAGTACTTGCACAAGCACAACCTAGTAGCCAGAAACCTTCACCAGGAGCTCGCTCTAAAATACGATCTCGTGGACCGAAAATTGACGTATTACTAGTACATGCCGGGAGCCGTGCTAGAAAATGATCGCGCCAGGCTATACTGGGACCGGGCCATCATCACAGACAGGACTATTTTTGCGAATAAGCCTGATATTGTGCTGATGGACCGGGCACAGTCAAGGATATTTTGGTCGACACTACCCTTCCGTATGACGACAACCTCATGAAAGCCGAAACAGATTAGTAAACCAAGCTATTTGTAATTTGTTTTGTGTCGTTAATTGTAACATACATGATTGTAAGCTGTTAATAAAGAAAAGTCCCGCTGGGTTTCTTGCTGGTTTTGCCAACCGAAATTATTCCTGTAGTCATTTCTGCAAACGAGCTAATCCCAGTCAGCCCCTCGGATCATCTGAGGCGGCTGGGACTCCGTGACGAACCGCTCCGGGCTGAAATTCAGAAGACAGTGCTCTTGGATACCGCCCGCATCGTCCGCCGGTTTCTTTCATTTTCCCCCTAACCCCCGGCCATTTGATCCACCTGACGAGGGCTTCCATCTGGTTGGGCTTTTATTAATTTTTGTATTATTTATTTATTTATCTTAATATATATAAATTACGTGTCACGTTGTTTGTCCGCGATGGAATCCTAAACTTCTTAACTGAATTTGATCGAATTTGCACACCGTGTGCAGTTTGGTGCAACTTGAGAGATAGGATAGTTCTTTTGTCCATGAGTGAGCCAAAATTTTTTTTGCGAATTTAAGGGTTTATATGGACATGAAAAGGGTCACCGAAAAGGGCAGAACAATGTCTGCCTGGCAAGCTAGGTAAATATATATTTATATGTATTTATAATTTCTTTTTATATATTTATTCAACCCGTAGACAGAGAAACCTATAGACTAATATTAAGCGTGGCCTCGAGTGAGAAAGGACGATAGCGAAGTTTTAGGTTATACAATAATCTTTATGACTTTTGAACATATTTAGATATTTTTTTTTATTGTTCTAAGAACAGAACTGAACAGGATTCACCAAGCTCACAAAACACTTTTTGCTCACTTAAACCAAATTGTAAACTCCGTAGATCGCTACGAACTGTGAAAGTAGATTTGGCAAAGTATAGTTTGCTAAACAAAAAAACCGGCACGGAGAAAAGGACAAACAATCACACTGCTCTGTCTCATTTCTATGCAAGACGTATGCATAAATCTATCTTTTTCGTGTGCGAATGCGAAAGAAGGCGTCAATTTGTCTATAGGTTTCTCTGTTATGATTTTAGATGTTTTAAGGAAACAAATCTGACAACCACCAACTATGTTTACTCTGTTTACGATTCAACCCAACCAGATGAGAATACTCCATGAATACCCCATAAATAATAATAATATATTTATTTGCTTAAAACATGGTATCAATAAGATTTTACAAATATTATACAATCGAACAGCATGTTTTGCTAAAATTATACATTAAACAATAAAAATACATTAAAAAATAAAAATATAAATTTCTTTGCAACTTTCCGCTAAACATATAAAATGATGTGTCTTACCTGGAATGAAGCGCACCTCCCGCCCTCTCTCAATTGCATACACTAACTCCGTCACCACTATACCAAGCACCACTACTCTCAACATCACTATTCCAGGCAAGACACACCATCGACGATAATACGACACGTGTTTCGCCTCTACACGAGGCATCATCAGGTAATATAGACTCTACGGCGGCTGACCGCTAAGTGAGCGGCGAGTCGAAACAGTTGCTATTTATACACGCTGACACAATCGCTCCCTACCCATAGTAACAATAAGGTTATTGTCTTTTATTCTATGTTTTAGTGACATAAAAATGGGGAACTCAGGATTGCAATGGGAAGATGCGGGTGCCTCCTGAATTTCTTTAGCTAACAAACTTTTAACTTTTACTTGTCTCGGAGCAATCTTGTTCCAATGAATCCTCAAGCACCCACTTTATATGGGTTACCTAAATTACATAAAGAACATGTTCCTATTCGTCCAGTTGTCTCATATATAGGTGCACCAGCTTATTTCCTTGCTAAAAAATTAAACTTCCTCCTTCGGGAGAAACAAATGATCTTCTTAATTTAACCTCTCTCTGTATGAAACAAAATTATTTCCGGTTTAATAACCGTTTCTATCTACAAAGAGAAGGGTTAGCTATGGGGTCCCCTCTAAGTCCACTTATGGCGGACATTTTCATGGATGATTTCGAAAAACAACATATAGTTGTTAACCAAAATATCTTATACTATTATCGATATGTAGACGACATAATTATTTGCTGGACAGGCACAAGGAGACAACTGGATGTTTTCCTTAATAAAATAAATAGAGTCCACGAAAAAATTAAATTTAAGCTTGAATTGGAACAAGATGGCTCCCTTAATTTCCTTGATTTAACAATAACAAGAAAAGAGTCGTTACATGTTTTTCAAATTTATCGAAAGCCAACTCATACCGACACGGTCATCCCCGCATCATCGTGTCATCCATGGCAACATAAATTAGCCGCTTTTTATTGTTACATTAACCGTCTGTCCACTGTTCCATTAAATAAAGAAAATTATTTAAAAGAACTTAATATAATTTATCAAATTGCGGTCTCTAATGGTTTTTCAAAAAGTCTCGTTGATAATCTTATTAAAAAGAAACAAAATCATGTTGTTCGCAATTCTTTGTACGCGGTTCGATCTCAAAGTGTCCGGCGGTATGTGGGTAGTTTGACCTACTTAGGCCCCATATCGGAAAAAATAGCTAATAGTCTTAAGAAAAATGGCGTTAACGTGGCATTCAAAACAAACAATTCGCTTAGGAATATTTGTAATAATAAAGATAAGTTAAATATTAGTCAAAAATCGGGTGTTTATAAACTTGTTTGTGACGAATGCCACGCCGTTTACGTGGGTCAGACTGGTCGCAATTTCGGGACGCGCTATAAAGAACATATGGCCGCGTACAGAAATTGCAATCCTGATAAATCCCATTTTGCTAAACATCTCTTGGACACTGGACACAACCTAGCTAGCGACCATTCCTTTGAAGTGTTACATACCTGTAATAAGGGGCTGCGACTGTGTGTGCTGGAGCAGTTGGAGATTTTAAAAAGTAATAATGGTAATTATACACTGCTGAATGAACAAACAAATGTTTCTAATTCACCTTTGTTAAACATCTTTAAGGCCAATCTTTAATAATAATTTTAAGATTAATAATAATAAATAATTATAATAATATCAATAAGACAATAATAATAATAGTATTTAAAATATTAATAATAACAATAATAATAATTAGTAGCAGATTTGTTATCGCACGGCGCGGTCACTCAAAACAATAATAATAATAGTATTTAAAAATAATCGTAACAATAATAATAACTGTTGGCAGTTTTGTTATCGCACGACGCGGTCACTCGCTAATTTGGTAGGGAGCGATTGTGTCAGCGTGTATAAATAGCAACTGTTTCGACTCGCCGCTCACTTAGCGGTCAGCCGCCGTAGAGTCTATATTACCTGATGATGCCTCGTGTAGAGGCGAAACACGTGTCGTATTATCGTCGATGGTGTGTCTTGCCTGGAATAGTGGTGTTGAGAGTAGTAGTGCTTGGTATAGTGGTGACGGAGTTAGTGTATGCAATTGAGGAAGTATGTCATCTCCTTACGGAGGTTTTCGGGTTCGAGGAGGCCCTCATTTCCCGGGAGTCATCGCGGGGGGACACGGCTCCCCCGGTTTTGGGTGCTGCCACGCAGCTTATGGGTTGGAGTGTTGCGCACATTTACGCCATCAGGCTGGGTGTCGGGCTTGCTCACTCGTCCCCGGCGGCTCCCTCGCCGGGCGGTGAGATTAGGATTTCTCGTGGGAGTGGCCGCCCATCAGGTGGGCGTGCATGTAGGGGTGCCAGGTTGTTTAGGTGGGGATGTGGCCCGTTGTCTGCGCGGTCAAACAACCGTCTCGCAGTACGGGCCACAAATTCCTGGATGGACTCTATTTTGAGGTCTCTGGCTATGAGGTCATTTCTTACGTAGCGGCCTGCTCCCACGATCGTTCGGAGCGCAAGATTCTGCTGGGCCTGCAGCCTCCTGCGCTGTGTGGTCGATGTTAGCGCGTACCAGGCTGGCGCTGCGTAGGTTAGCCGTGAGCGGACGTAGGTTTTGTAGATGGCTATTTTTGTTTTTAACGGGAGTGAGGATGCCAGTATGGGATAGAGCTTTGCTCGTGCGGCTCTGGCCTGTACCACTAAGTGGTTGACCATTGGAGTCATCCGCAATGAGCGATCTATCTGGCATCCTAGGTAGGTGGTAGTACCTTTCCAACCTACGTCTTGCCCACGGAGTCGCAAGGTTGGTAAGGTGCGTCTCAGCCTGGTCGCGAAGGCGGCGGTCTTCCCGACATTGACCGCCATCCTCCATTTGTCCAGCCAGTCAGGCAGCAAGTCCAGCAGTCTCTGCAGCTTCCTAGCCGCGAGTTCTACCCGACGAGATGACGTGA